ATTATTACAGCGTATACTGTAGTTGGAAACGTTAAAGTTGTCGCTGCGTTTGCTAAGGGTTCTGGAAGTTGTGGTTAAAAACAGTAACTTTCCAAAGCTCTACTGGAGTTACATGGGCGTGTCATAGACCAAATGGGGAGCAGATATTCATCTGAGTGACACTTCATCCCAAAATTAAGGAGTGAAGATCTTTTCCTGCTCAGGGCCCAAGCTGCCTCTTTTGTGGAACCACAACTAAACAGTCAACCCAGGGTGTTTTATGATAAGCACAATCATCGTCATCATCACCATCAAGCTTTTGGAAGTCAGAAGCACCTTGCTGGCCCATAACATCTGAAGGGCGAGAAGCTTCTCCCACTTCAGATGTCATGGGCCAGTAAGATATTTCTGACTCTCAAAAGTTTGCTAACAAGAATAGCCACAATAGCCCCCATCCTTAACAGCCCTGCTCAGGAGTTTCAAAGTAGAGTAAAGGCAGTGGCTTATTGAGCCCATCCATCTCATAGTCAGTCTTCCTTCCTTGTCTTCAAAATTTTCCCTGTCTTTGCTATAAACTGTTAAGAAGCTGAAGCAGCAAATTCTACTCTTTACTATAGCCACTTCCAACCCCCTCCCAAGCTACCGTTGGCCTCTGGCAGGTACTCAGATCTCTCTGGACTGTGTTTTTCCTGTGCTATTTTTCCCATGTTCTCAGCCTTTTGAAAAAAAGATATTAGTATTTTAGCCCAGAATGATGACACCAGCTTGTTTTTCAGTGGTTTGGATTCTATGTCCTGTCAGCTGAGGGCCACCGAATTTGCAGTTGGCGACGCCGTCTTTCCAACTTGCCAAAACAAACACATATCGTCCACTCAAACTTGAATTTCTGCACAAATTAATCCTCTCCTTAAGCCAAGCCATCTTACTTGTCAACATGTGATGGCAGTAGTGTTCTAAATACAGTACTCGCCCACAGAGGAAGAGAGAAGTTTCCAATCAAATAAGGCCCCCCACTTTTCTTGTCTCAGTTTCAAGAGCAAGCAGGCTCATTTTGTCCCCCAAAAAGAAACCTTTTTTTAAAAAATGGGCACAAAACTTTGGACATGCACAGGCTTCTGCCCCTGAAACCAGTTCGTGATTTTAAGGGATGAACTTAATATCAGAGGCCCCAAAATAAGGTCAAGTCCACCGTCCCTCTCAGAATATGTTGCATGTCACCAGTTGTTGTTGTTTTAATTTAATCTGTCCTTTTAAACAGTTGGAATAAATTCTGTCCTGGTTTTATATGCAGGTAAGGGCTGACTGAAGACAGGAGGGCCTGGTGTGCTCTGGTCCATGGGGTCACAAAGAGTCGGACACGACTGAACGACTAAACAACAAAGGGCTGACGAAATAGTTCAGTGAGTTAGATTTCTGGCTGCGGAGCCGTTGGTTGGGAGTTCAATTCCCCCACTGGGCCTCTGTGGAGAAGAGCCAGCCTAGGTAGCCTTGGGCAAGCTGCGCCGTTCCAGAGGACTCTCAGGAATAGGAAACCACTTCTGAGTACACTATATTGTCTACCAAGAAAAGCCTGGAATGGATTGCTGTCAGCGAGAGTTGACTTGATGGTTCATCATCACCACCACCACCCCCACCACCATCATAGAAGCAACTGGGCAGCTTCTCCCCATGGGCACATTTCACTTTGCCCAAGCAGGTCCACGATTGTTAGAGTGAAAAGCTTTTGCAATCAGTACTTTCCCTCTGGGTTGGAAGGAAAGCCTTCCAGAAAGGGAGAAACGATCCTATAAACCGACTGGATTCTAATCTTGCATCCTTTTTGTATAACAGAGAGTTGTTTTGTGTAACAGAGGAGTTGTGTCAGGAAAGGAGAACACGTTGCACATTTTACTGTTGTTATATGTGTTATATTTTTTTAAAATGTCTTAAAAAAATTTAAATTAATTGTTTTAGTATTTTTGTATGTTCATTGTTTTTTAACATAAAAACCAATGAATCAAAATCCTGCTGCATAACTTTGCAGAAGGGCAAAGAATAGAAAAGCCTATCATAGCAGCCCACGTGTCCAGCCTTCTCAAGGCTAAGCTGGAGAGACATGGGGGTTACTTTTGAAGGGTGGCAAATGGAGCATGAGGAAGGAATATCTAGGTAATCTATAATGCTGAGGGTAGGGAAATAAGGCTAATATGTTTGTGTGTATGCAGCTGAGTGATCGTCATCCGTAGTCAGTTTTGTATCTGTTCTCAAAATCATGATTTCTATTTGTGCTACTGCTAGCCACAGGAGCAAGGTCGCAAAGGCAGTTGGCTACCTCCATGACCAAGCATGGCTCCTCTGAGAGCTTTCATACCTGTATGAATTGAAAAACTGGTGGTTGCAGCTCTGGATTCCAGGGGCCTGTGTGTGTACATGGCTGCCATAAAAACAGGGTTCTGAGCTGACTCTGTTGGAGGCTCATGGTCCTTCTTGACTCAGCCACCAACAGAAGATCCTCAGTCCTGTCAGGATTCCCCTGCGAGCACATTTTAAGACCTCGATCTGCGTACATTGCGCAGACAATCTTTTGAACCCTTTACTGGAATTCTGAAAGAGCAGGGCGCAGGATATCAACGGGCTCACCCAAATCAGCTCATTTTAGAAGACATTGGAAAGAGGGTGGTTTCATCAACTCCTAAGAGGGTGCGGGCACACTTTGTATCCCTTGGGCCTGACAAGGAAGAGCCAGAGGAAAGCCATTTTGACTCAGCTGACGTGGCCATTTTATTGCTATCCCTCAAGGGGCCTTGCAATCACTTAAACCACTGAGCTACCCGGCAGTTCATCTAATTTCATGCAACCACAATTATTAATTTAGTGTCACTCGATGTTAATGGGATGAGTTGCTCAGTGTAGTAAGTCACACTATAGTAGGCCCATTGAATCTGTGAGGATCTGGTGAGGCAACTCCTCCTTAAGTTCCATTGCTTCAAATGGGCCTGGTTTACTTGTAACTTAGTACATGAAAGCAACAGGATTTGAGCCATTCAGTCACAATATTAGGTGAAGAGCGACAGCTTAGTCAGGTGGAGAAATGGGAATGTGCATTTTCCTTTTGTTGTTCTATAACCAGTGAAATCCTGCTTCCAAGAGTGGTCGGACACTTCCAGAAAGCCCCACAGAGGACTGAAGACTACTGTTCTCTCTGGCTCTTACTCCTAAGTCATTGATATGCAAACATATGTTGTGTTTGAACATGGTGGCTCTATATAACCACCATGTCTAATGGACATTTATAGACTCTTCTCTTCTAGGCAGAGTGAACGCTGAAAGAAGAGGAGATGGAAAGTACAAGCCGCCATAAGGAGTCTTTGCCTGTTAGTCAATATCTCTTTAAATCATCTCCTGATTCCTTTTCTTGTGCTGGTCTAGTGTCCTGTTGGGTTGTAACGGTAATCGTTCAAAGTGCACAGACACATAATCGTTGAGCCGGGGAGCAGAAAGGACCTGACTAATGTGTGCAATACAAATTAACCTGGTTACAGCGATACTCTCTTGAACATGAGAGAGTGCTAAGGACCAAAATCAATTCCTTTGCAGCCAAATAACTGCAGGGGCTGGCTTTGAATTTCAGTTAAATGCCCTTAAAACCAGGACACTAATTGCGTTACCTCGGAGGCCCCGATCAGATAGTTCAGATGATGATGATCATCTGATGCATTGGATATGGATGGCAAAGAAAACAAGACGTGACATCCAGGGCTGGAAGGGCTTTAGACCTCTCGTGTTCTGTCCAGTTGGGGAGTTCCTAGCCTCACAACAGGGTGAGAGTTTGTGATGTAGGCCAGAGTGTCCCCCCTCACAAGGCTTTTGACACCCTTCTGCCTAGAGGCTGTTACAGCCAATGCCACCCATAGTGGCTCATTATGTTATAGCACCGCACCATGATTTCCATATATGAATCGGAACATGCAATTGAAACACAATGGCATCATCTGGTTAGTTACACACACCAGTGTCATTGTCGTCATCACCATCATCATCTTAGAGCCTTAGAGCTGGGAAGGACCCTATGGGTTACTGCAGGGGTGGGCAATTAATTTCTATAAAGGGGGGGCCACATGAAAAATCTGAACTGTGTTCGGGGGCCGGACCAACTTTACTTAAAAATAAAATGAAACAGTGAAGTTATTATTGTTTTTATTTTAAAAAACAGAAGCTGGGGACTCCAGTGTCATGAGGTGGTGAATCTGATTCAAGTTTTCGTCCAGACTTGACCATCCCAAGTACTGAACACTATCTCAGATAGATTTTGCATCTTGGATAGCTCCTTTGAAGTTTGTTTCAAGATGTGGGACAGATTCACTAGGACTGTCATCCACACGTGGGGAAGATATTTGCTGCTCAATGTACTAGAAATCAATGGGTCATTCTGGTGCTAGTTGTCTGCACACATCCAAAATTGCTAATTAATGTCTCACCTCCTCAAACAGATTACTTTCCAATTCTATCTATCTTATTTGCTCTTCTCTTTCCTACTTCACTTGATCCTCCCTTCCTCCTTGTTCTGCCCATCCTCTGGGTTTGGAGGGGTGGAGACGGACCAGCAGAAAAAAATCCCCATAAAGTGAATGTCGCCAAATGACATATACTAATAAAGGGTGCAGAAGAGCATGGAACAGTGCAGTACGTTGGTACGCATAAGCAGTTCCTGAACTGGGCCAAACTGGACCTTAACAGAACAAAAGCACACAACACCTAAGAATGGTGTTTAAAAACAAAACCCTAGAAAGCAAGGTGAGTTTTTGTTGTTGCAGCTGTTCTGTTTTGAATCTGTTGGCACTAGTTTCAGCCCTGTGTTGTGTGAACACTGAAAGGCGCTACTGGTGTCTAAGGAAAGTTGAAAAAAGAGTCGGTGTGGACGGACCGTCAGTTGTGTCTGCACTCCTTTTGTGGCACTCTGCTCCGTTCTGTCACTGCTCTGAAAGGGACTTCACGCATTGCAAGGCAATGCTATCATAGTTCCTGTGGGAGGCATGCACAGTGTGAAGTCCAGATGTGCATCTTTAAGCCAGAATTTGACACTTGCTGGAGAACCTTGGGGCCACGTTTGTCAGATGTTCATTCTTCGGACCTTAGCTTCCCCCACCCCCCGTGAAAACCAGGAGCCTCGAAAAATGTTAGGTCAGCAGCATCAAATTTTTAGAAATTTGGGGGCCAAAATCTGAGACGAGGAGTTGAACCCTGATGATGTTCTTGTGTGTTCTTGTGAGGTCAACCAGACTCTGCAGGCAAGGGTTGGGAGGAGGGACGCTGTAGTGCAGCTGCCAGGTCTTGCTCAACAAGAAGGTTCATGAGTCAAGACACTGGTGCTCCACTGCGGCCTTGGTCCACAAAGGGCCTGCTTGCCAAGGGCAAGACGAGGGACTGGGGAGAGAGGTGGTGGGAGATTTAAAACCACATGAATCAAACGCTCTCT